GTCGGTTTGCACGTTGCAAACTTTCGTAAGTTTGGAAAAGCTTCGGGAGGTAGGATCTTCGAAAGATTTATCAAGTCAGGAGGTTGGCTATGAAATCTTGCTTCCAGAAACAGATTGATCGTGACGAATATTTTTTATATCTTATATTATCCTTTTTCATTTGTCATCAAAACTCTTGCTCTGTGCTTCACCAGAAACTATGATCGGGCCACTCCAATGTTGGTGCCTGGCGTGCTCTGGTAAGAAATTGAATTTATTACTTGAATCTATCGAATTAACTAAATCAGTTTCCAGGTGTACGCCGTGCCCAGACAGAGAGAAATCTCTCCAATTTCTCGGCTAACTCGAGAGTGACTCGAGCCGAGAGGGAAAAGCGGACAAAACTTTGATCGAACGAGGGATTGAATTCACCGACTCGCGAAACTTTCGCTCTTTCTCTGGATCTGGCCTGCAGTCAGCGATAAATCGACTCTTCGAGCGCCCTCGTCGTACATTGGTAATTAATTTACCGATCCAACCGTCTCCTCCTGTTTACCCAGGTAATTACAAAGTATTATCGTGGCCAAGAGCGGATCGCGGGCAGGTCGCTTCGCCGACAGTTCCCTCCAATCGCGGTTTCCTTCATCCGCGTGTGCAGCACACCCACGACGATATCGATCGCGTCCGATAATCGATCGAAGCTCCTTGCCAGCTAGCGGCTGGCCGATAATTGCGTCGCGCTTCAACGAAATCGAACGCATGGATGGCATGGTACGATAGATAACGAATCAAATTGACCGTTTTCAGACTTTCTTGAACCACCACATCGCTCATCTTTTTATCTCTGATTTATCCTCGCGAGTCCTCTTGAAATATATGCACGCAATGAATTCTTTCAGTACTTACTTCCCCGCTCGTTACCTTTTCACGACCGGTCGAAAGATTTTTATATTTTGACTCTTTTGAAAAAGTATACAACCGGTTGACGAGAGAGAGGCTTGTCCTAAAAAATATCAAGGCCATTCCAGAAATATATAGGTTATTAGAAGAAATAATTTAATAGACGACGAGCGACAGAAAACTTTCTGAAACTGAAATACAAGATGGTAAATGACGGTGACCTATTCGACGAATCAGAGTCCCCCTTTCTGCGGTGAATGAAGAGGAGAATATCTCGAATAAACGTACAGGACAAAAGAGAATGCGATTAGTACGTATTGAGTTCCGAAAGTGATGTAGAGGACCTGCTGCTGGTGCCAAGTTGATTATTATCTACGTTCAAGTGTAATAAAATATTACTTCCCTTTAACCCTTTCGCTACGGGCCGATGATTTTTCTACGCCGATCTGCAATATCGGCCGAAGATAAAAAGGAAAAGGTGAAAAAATTATCACATAATACAACTAGAAAATATAATTTAATAATGTGATTTCGTATGGAAAGTTTCGAAACACGGGTATATACTATAGTAATCGATCGTTGGGTGACTAAAGGGTTAAGGAACAAATCATACGTAACGAGCATCAATCGTTGGGTGACTAAAGGGTTAAGGAACAAATCATTTTCACGCTCTCTTCCGATAAAAAACGAACAGAATGAGCGCAACACACAGTAGACATAGTAGAATCGTACGACTAGTGGATCCTAAGGTCGAATTTGGAAGCGTGTCAAGTGTGCGTGTATTTGGACGAGAGAATGGCGAATCGACTGAGGAACACATATGCCACAACATTTGACTGAAGACACATTTGTTTTCGTTCCGTTTCAAAAGGGATTTCCTTTGATCTTTGCCAAGATCCGAGCGGAAACTGGCGACGAGGCAACTTTTCCGAAAAACACGAAAAATGCCAATAACATCAGATCTTTCAAATCTTCGTTGGCCAACAAAAATTTGTGCGCAAATAGTTCGATGTAACGTTATTTATGGTTGAAACAATATATGATTGATTAGAAAAATATATTTATATTAATTCAAAAAACATTGATTTTAATCTTTTGATTTTAATCAAATTTTAATATTTGATTTGATAGAGATAGTGGCAACACGAAGAGTATTTTCAAGATGCTCGTCTAAATTTTTCGCTCTTATTTTATTTTTTTGTGTACTTCGTATGTGGAGAAAATCTGCTCGCAAATATTAGGGATACCTAGTAATGTCGTTTTTTTTTTTT